CAGACTCTGTGCTGTGGCGAGTTTTAAAACCAGACTGGAAGACCTCCAAGACACCATGCTCATCCAGAAAGGACTTTAGCTGAACATGAACAACTTTCTCTAAAATCTTTGAAATAAAAGGAAGTTTGGAGATTGGCCTAAAATTGGCCAGCACACTGCAATCAAGGCCTTTTTTTTTAAGTAGATGCTGCACCACTGCATGTTTAAAACCTGGCGGAACAACACCAGAGGACAGACTGCTGTTTATGATAGCCAGAACAGACTGACCTAAAAGCCAAAGAGAAGCTACTGGCAGTGGAGGGGTTAATAATCCGGCGTCTCTGCGCAGGAGCTCCAGATTTAACCTCAGAGCAAGAAAGGTACACTTCAAACAATACAGGCCTGTGATCAGAAAATACATCATCACATATCACCAGGTTAGACACATGTAAACCATGACACAGTACGAGGTCCAGTAAATGCCCGTGCTCGTGTGTGGCACCCGACACACACTGCACCAAATTAAAAGAGTCAATAAGACTTAAAAAGTCCTTCACCAACGGCTTTTCTGGACAACACAGGTGAATATTAAAATCCCCAAGAATAAGGACACGATCATAGTTCGGCATAATTTCAGCCAGTAGACCAGAGAAGTCATTTAAAAACTCCTTATTGTATTTGGGGGGGCGATAAATGACCGCCCTCAAAGCTTGAAAAAGAGGATGATACAGTGCGCTACTTGCATTTAAAGCCATTCATTCGGAACAAGACATTGGTGTTGCTGTGAATCTGTCGACATTTATTGATGTCCATGTTGCTACAATAAACATGCAAACACCTGTCACACTGTCTAATTACAATTAATAATTTCAAAACATTTAAAGTTAAAATAGAAAAATAATGGGCGTAAAAAAACTAGTGTGCTAGCTGTGCAACCTCTATATTAGCACACAAGGTGGCATAAGGGTTGAAATGGAGCACAACACTCACACCTGTCTATTACAACAGGAATTACAAACGTGGATATTTTTTTCACCCTTCACAAATACAACACAGATTATACCTTCTGAACTTGCAGGTGCACAAATCCCGTTCTACAAATCAAAAATTAAAAAACTCATACTCTTAACATTTTTGCTGTAATTGCTGCTGTTAAAAAGACGTATAAAAAACTTTTTCAATTATCAGACACTTTCATCCAGTTTAGAACAATTAAAGCAGGAGAAAACAACAAAAGCTTGTCAGTGTGAAAAATAGGCACACAGTGCGTCTCTGATAAGGCGACCATGTTGGGCCTGATAGAGATTATCATCACCAGCCTGTCCATCATCTTCAGCCTGTGTGAGATTGTCATCACCAGCCTGTCCATCATCTTCAGGATCCTCGTCTTCCCATTGCTCATCGTGTATTTCACAATAGTTATGTAAAACACAGCAGGTTGCAATGATATGGCTGACCAGTGTAATGTGCGCATCACACCTTTTGAGGAGACATCTCCATCTACCCTTCAGCCATCCGTAGGCTCTCTCTACAGTCATCCTTGTCTGACTGAGTCAATGATTGAACTGCGTTTCAGCTGGTATGACACCTCTCCCCTTCGGAAATGGCTTCAGCAGCCAAGGCAGAAGTGGGTAAGCTGCATCGTAAGCAATACATTTTAAGCTTTGGCTGTAGTTGCACCTGTGTAAACAACTCATCAAAAGCAAGAGTTTGTTTATGTTCACACACAAGGTCACACACACACACAAACACACACACACCTATTTCTGTAATATATAGTTTATAATATAGCTTGATTCTGTATCTCTATTTACAGCTCATTAGTCCTTACATGAATGTTTGCTATGGCAACAAGTGCCCGCTGACATTAGCAGTTGCTAGCTAGTTTAGCTCAATTGTCTGAACAACAATAACCCATAAATTCACAATTTGGCATATTTAAACAAAATCAAATCACAACTACCAACAATCACAATCCTTAAACTCTGAGCTCATATGTTGTCCCATGTTAGATCGTCAAAGTTAGAAAAATAACAGGATCAATCCCTTACAAGCTACGATAGCATTATAGGTGCCACCTCGCTCTGATTCGTTTGAAATGCTCCATGCCTTGCTGCCTTACCAGGCTGTCATATTGCACTGCTTGCCGAGCCATGTGCATTTGAAACATAAACAGAAACACCATCCCCAGAACAGCCAACTTCACATTGTGCTCCATCTTTACTGTTGTTTTTCCGGAGAGGGATAGAGGGATTTCCCCTCCTACTTTGTCCAATTGACGAGCGCCCCTTTCAACCTTGTGATTTTTTTTAAACAAAAACAAAAACAAGAACAATTTAGCCTCAACTCATCATTATCATCATCATCAGACAGTTTCCCCTTGCATGTCTTAGTGTGCACTGCAAGCATCTGCAAAGGCATCAATTTATTACACTGGTAACATGCCGTCTTTGGCATTTTTGAGAAGTGAGGTGAGTCAGGAGGAAGAGGAGAGGTGTCCAATGTCTCCTGAAGCGGTACTATGTAAAAAGTGGCTTTGCCGCCTGCTGACGCAGCTCGCAGAACTTTGGTAGTATATCCCTCTGCCTCTGGTGGAATGACAGTGAGTTTTCGTCAACCACTCCCACCATAACTGAGAAAAAGAGAAATAAAACAGAAGTTTAAAAATCATGTTTTGTTGAGAAAAAAAAAAAAAAAACATTTAGTCAGTCAGACATCTTTAATGCTTACAGCAAGTAATCAATGCACTATAAGGGTTTACAGACCCCAAAAATGGGTAAGTGGGATGTAATAATCAGTAAATATGAAACATACAATATTTTTCTTACAAACCTGTAGACTCATGCAAGAGCCACCCTCCACACAGACCCTCCATTTTTGTAAATGTGTCAGCCAGGAGCCTGGAAATCTTTGTTAATGATAAAGGAGAGAGAGAGAGAGAGAGAGAGAGAGAGAGAGAGAGAGAGAGAAGGGGGGGGGGGGGTGACAGTGCACACAACTTAAGATAAAGCACAATAACTAGCTTTAATGATAAGTTAAACAACTGGACTGACAGCTGTACCTCTGTGTGGTCACCATCTTCAGGAAGGCTCACCATTTGTCTCCCCATGCCCGCCTGAAGGAGTTCAAGCTCCTCAACAGTCAACGGTGGGTGGGATGTATTTTTTGGTAGCAGATAAAAATTGAGAGCAGCTGTCTTACTGTTTATCTTAAGAACATGCTTTGGTGGCAGTCAAACCCCTTTTTTTTAACCATGATTGACTTGAAATATCCCAGAAACGATCTGTGGATTAAAATATAAATAAGAGTTTAGTAAGTGTTGCATTCAACTTCTGACATGTTTATAGTTTTTCCAATGTAATCACAAACCAAACTTCTAAGTGTGATTCAAAGTGCACATTTGAATTTACACATCTTAGCAGTAGTGACGTGGACCTAACAAGAAAACACAGTTTTTGCCCCAGTGCAAATGAGAATTATGTTGTGTGGCTTGAATAACAAACCTTGTCATTTCTTGCTGCACAGTTACATTTCTAGGGGCTGGGGCACGCTGCTCTGTCTCCTGCCTTGTGGGCCTGGCTGAGCTGTTTGTGGCCAAAGTGTCGAGTAGCATAGATACCAAGTTTCTGGCTGCTGACTCAACTGTACCTTGACCCTAAATCAATTCAGGATGTACCATTGACATGTTTCCTGCTCAAAGTAATTAAACATCAGACTGCCGACTGACCTTAAAATCACAGCTAATGGTTGTTAGCCGCCAATTTAGCTGGCTCTGTTACCAGCTAACAAAATTTGATCTGGAACTGTCGGATAATAGGTGTAGGCTAGTCAAAGGCATCATCATCAGAATACCAACCAAAATAGCTAATGGCTAGTTTGCAAACTTACAATGGTTGCAAACTAACATAAAAAAAGAACTTTACAAATGTTTTTAACACACTTTGTTTATGACAAAGGCAACACAAACTACTTACATGTGGTTGTTGTTGTTCACCTGATATTATCTAATGGTGCCCAGGAAAGAAAGGAAAAAGTCTTTGTCAGTCACACAGCAAGCTTCAGTCTCAAAATAAGAGGATATAATGTAAACCCAGTACAAAAACATAGAAGGTAGGTCGATAACAAGAGACAATAATCATCATCATAATAAAAATAATGAATACTGCCCTTACATTGTTTCCAAAGAAGTCCTCCATCTCCCGTCCAAGTCCATCTGATGCGATCTCCTTTGCTTTTTCAGGGTGAATGTAACTAGCAATCTAATTGAAGAGCAAACAGCCAATCAGCTAGTACCTCCGCCAGCTCTCTGATTGATTGGCTTTGTGGCACTTTGTAACGTGTGTGCCAAGCTGAGCGCGCAGAGAGGACAAACCCAAGCACACAGAGGTAGAGAGGTTGAGTGAGCGAGGGAGGGGGGAAGTGAGCGCATAGAACTAAAATGTAAACACATTAATGGTGCACAGAATGGATTTTTTTTTGCTCAGGATATTTTTCTGTGCTCAAAATTTGTCATTATGTGCTCAGAATCTATCATAACTTGCTTTTGTTTGCTCGATATAATTTTCTGTGCTCAATATCTGTAATTGCTCGCTCAAAATCTTTCATTGCTCTCTCAGGATACTGGCACACAAATAATTCCATAAAACTCAAGTTCAACAATTGCCACGAACTCAAGTTCAAACATGCCAGAAACTCAAGTTCAAAAAAATGCCACAACATCAAGTTCAAAAAATGTCACAACTTCAAGTGCTTCAAACATCACAAACTCAAATTCAACATATGCCAAGATATCAAGTTTAACAAACTTCAAAAACTCAAGGTCAACAAACACCACAAACTCAAGCTCAACAAAAGGCATGAACTCAAGTTCAAAAAATTTCACAACCTAAAGTTCAACAAATGTCCCTAAACGAAGTTCAACAATTGCCACAAACTCAAGTTTAAAAAGCGCCATAAACTCAAGTAAGACAAACGCCAGAAACACAGATTCAATAAAAACACCTCAAACTCAAGTTCAACAAATGCCAAGATTTCAAGTTCAACAAACTACGAATACTCAAGCTCAACAAACACCACAAACTCAAGCTCAACAAACACCAAAACCTCAAGTTAAATGTACACCAAAAACTTCAGTTAAAAAATTCCACTACTTTTTTAACAAACAACCCTTACTCAAGCTCAACAATTGCTACACACTCAATTTTTATATACACCACAAACTCAAGTTCAAGAAACACCAATATCTCAAGTTCAACAAATGCCACAACTTCAAGTACAAAAAACACCACAAACTTAAAGTCAACAAATGCCACAAACTCAAGTTTAACAAACACCACAAACTCAAGTTCAACAAATGCCACAATTTCAAGTTCAACACACGCCACAAACTCAACTTCAGCAAATGCCAATAAACTCAAGTTCAACAAATGCCACAACTTCAATTTCAAAAAACACCCCTAACTCAAGCTCAACAAGTGCTACAAACTTAAGTTCTATAAACACCAAAAACTCAAGTTCAAAAAACACTAAAATCTCAAGTTCAAACAAGCCACAACTGGAAGTTCAATAAACGCAACATACTCAAGTTTGACAAATGCCACAACTTGAAGTTCAAAAAACACTTCAAACTCAAGTTTAACTCAAGCTTAACAATGGCTACAAACTGAAGATTTATAAAGACCACAAACTCAAGTTCAACAAACTACGTCAAGTTCATCAAAAGCCACAAACTCAAGTACAACAAATACCAAAAACTATAGTTCAACATACACCACAAACTTAACTTTAACAATTGCCAGAAACTCAAGTTCAACATGCACCAGAAACTCAGATTCAACAAATGCCACAACTTCAAGTACAACAAATACCACACACTCAAGTTCAACAAATGCCACAACTTTGAGTTCAACAAACTCCCCTAACTCATGTACAAAAAAGGCCAATATTTCAAGTTCAACAAACTACAAAAACTCAAGCTCAACAAACACCACAAACTCATGCTCAACAAAAACCAAAACCTCAAGTTAAACATGCACCAAAAACTTCAGTTCAAAAATGACACTACTTTTTCAAAACACAAACCATACTCAAGCTCAACAATTGCTACACACTCAAATTGTATATACACCACAAACTCAAGTTCAAGTAACACCAATATCTCAAGTTCAACAAATGCCACAACTTCAAGAACAAAAAACACCACAAACTTGAAGTCAACAAAGGCAACAAACTCAAGTTCAACACACGCCACAAACTCAACTTCAGCAAATGCCAATAAACTCAAGTTCAACAAATGCCACAACTTCAATTTCAAAAAACACCCCTAACTCAAGCTCAACAAGTGCTACAAACTCAAGTTCTATAAACACCACAAACTCAAGTTCAAACATGCCACAAACTAAAGTTCATAAAACGCAACAAACTCAAGTTTGACAAATGCCACAACTGGAAGTTCAAAAACACTTCAAACTCAACTCAAACTCAAGCTCAACAATGGCAACAAACTGAAGTTTTAAAAAGACCACAAACTCAAGTTCAACAAACACCACGTCAAGTTCAACAAAGGCCACAAACTCAAGTTCAACAAATGCCACAATTTCAAGTTCAACACACGCCACAAACTCAACTTTAGCAAATGTCAATAAACTCAAGTTCAACAAATGCCACAACTTCAATTTCAAAAAACACCCCTAACTCAAGCTCAACAAGTGCTACAAACTCAAGTTCTATAAACACCACAAACTCAAGTTCAAACATCCCACAAACTCAAGTTCAAAAAACACAACATACTCAAGTTTGACAAATGCCACAACTGGAAGTTCAAAAAACACTTCAAACTCAACTCAAACTCAAGGTCAACAATGGCTACAAACTGAAGTTTTAAAAAGACCAAAAACTCAAGTTCAACAAACACCACGTCAAGTTCAACAAAGGCCACAAACTCAAGTTCAACAAATGCCACAATTTCAAGTTCAACACACGCCACAAACTCAACTTTAGCAAATGTCAATAAACTCAAGTTCAACAAATGCCACAACTTCAATTTCAAAAAACACCCCTAACTCAAGCTCAACAAGTGCTACAAACTCAAGTTCTATAAACACCACAAACTCAAGTTCAAACATCCCACAAACTCAAGTTCAAAAAACACAACATACTCAAGTTTGACAAATGCCACAACTGGAAGTTCAAAAAACACTTCAAACTCAACTCAAACTCAAGGTCAACAATGGCTACAAGCTGAAGTTTTAAAAAGACCAAAAACTCAAGTTCAACAAACACCACGTCAAGTTCAACAAAGGCCACAAACTCAAGTACAACAAATATCAAAAACTCAAGTTAAACATACGCCACAAACTTAAGTGCATTGTTGCCACAAGTTCAGATTGGGCCCTTTTCGTTTTTTTTTTTGGTCTAACTATCTCCAAAAGGGCTGAAAAATTTTCCTTAAATAGTTTTAGGACAGCCATTTTTACCCTTACCACACATCACTAACCGTTAACCCTTAAAGGAAGCCCTAACACCATTTTTTTTATATTTAAATTTTATTTTTAAATGAACTCCAAAAGGTCTGAAACATGCTCCTAAAAAGGACTTGCACTATGATTTTAACCCTTACCTCAAAGTCGAAACCTAATTCCGTAACCCAATATCCAGATGTAATATAAAGCAAGCCCTTAGACACACATTTTTTTTTTCCTTTTCTTTAGTTCTAACGAACTCCAAAAGCATGGGCTCTATTTTGGTGCCTCGCTGGAGACGTGCCGCAAGCGCAGCGTCAATCAGATCCGCCGCGCTGACAAGGCGTTCCCGAGCACATTTTGGTATTTTGGTGAGCCACGCAGCCCGGCGTAAGTATCCCCCCTCCCTAACTCAGCTCCTCCCAGCAGCATAAGTCGTAGACGGGGAGGAGAGAGGGCGTGTAGTGAGTTTAACACAGCCGAGACCTGTTTTCACCAATCACATAAGCTCCTCTCCTTGCCTTTAAATCCACCACCGGCGAGGCGCATTACAATTTTCATGAAGTAGTCAAAGAGATCAAGAGATGTCTGAAGACAGTTATGCCACACGATGGCGACAGAGGGCAGCTCCTCAACAAGTGTCCTCCACACTCTCTCAAATGAGCGCAGATGGATTTGGTTTGTGTAATGTTGGACCCACTGGTAAGACAAACACCCTTTTCCACAAATAAAGACACTCACATAAAGTTGCATATATTCAAACCTCACGTGACAAAGGTGGGTTGAGCGCACAGATCACAACATAAACTCCAAAAATGGTATTAAAATCGTAACCATCTGTGCGTAAATGACGCATCGCGCTCTTTCTTTCATAGATGTTGGCATGTAAAATAAATTTGGCCCACAAAACTGAATATTATAATATCTGTATGTCGGCTTCAAGTAGATAACGCATCTGAGCACTGAAACAAATCATCTGACAGAGGACACGGAGACGTGTCTAGGTCGAGCTGTGCAAGAAATAAGAGGAAGAGGAAGAAAGAAAAGGAGGGAGACACATTACATATCTTGTTAACTACATCATGTGTGTTTATTTACTAGATATTTAATTTAATTTGATGTGGTTTCAGCTGTGTAGATTCGGTCAGGTTGTGTGTCCAAACGCGTGCCAAACGCATGCCAAACGCGCTCATCAGATCAGATATAGATCAGACTAGGGCCCCGGTGGGGCACTGTCGGGCCCGAGCCGCGTCGCGCCGCCCCCAGCGCGACCACCTCCCCCTCCCGATCGCGTCACACTCAAGGTCCAAAGATGGTGTGCGCACTTGTCTGTGGTCATTTCCCATTATAATGAATGGGAGGCGCAGTTTCTACCAAAACACTCGCTGCAGACAAACTACATGTCCTATTTGAAAAAAGTCTGGACCTTGAGTGAGGGCACAAACACAGCTAGGATATATCCAAACGGCAAGTTGCTCCTCGTTACGTTGTTGCCGGGAGAGCGATGCGATTGAGCCATTGAGTGATGGGCAGGAAAAACTTGACTGTTTCTCCTGCCATGGGGGATGGGGGATGGGGGATGGAGGGGGGGGTGTGGATTCTTTTAAGAATGTGGATATTTGGGTCATCTTTGGCGCCCCCTAGAACGTAAACCGTGGGGTGCAGCGTCATGATTTTTACAACTTTGAATGGCCATGGGGTGTAGATTGGCCTGAGCAAATTTGGTGTCAGTGGGACGAAAGCCTTAGGAAGAGTTAGCCACATTCCAATGTGTGCGAATCGCCAAAAAATGCGAAATAGCCCTTGAACCGTACATTTTACAGATACGTGCGCGTTGACTTTTTCATAAATCTTATTGAGATACACAGGATTGCCAAATTTTGTGTCAATATGACAAAGCGTACAGGCGTGAATCTCAACAATGTGTATTTTCACCTTAGGGGACAAGAAAAAATGGACTTTTTTCTCCTGCCATGGGGGGGCGCTCTTTTGGGGAGTAAAAATTCCTTCACAAATGTGTTGATGGCTGGACATTGCATCATCCTAGAAAACTTGGAGGCCAGTGAGGACAAAAATAAAAAGTTATAAGACTTTTAAATATGTGGATTTTAGGGTTATCTTTGGCGCCCCCTAGAACCAAAACCGTGGGGTGCAGCGTCATGATTTGAACAACTTTTAATGGCCATGGGGTGTATATTGGCCTGAGCAAATTTGGTGCCGGTGGAACGAAAGCCTTCGGAGGAGTTAGCGAAATTCCAATGTGTGCGGATCGGCAAAAAATGCGAAATAGCCCTTTAACGGTACATTTGACAGATACGCCCGCACTGACTTTTTTGTAGATCTTATTGAGATACATGTGTGTGTCAATTTTTGTGTCATTTTGACAAAGCGTACAGGCATGACAGTCAATAGTGTGAATTTTCACCTTAGGGGGCGCTATGGAGCCATTTTGCATTTTCTTGTTTGGGCGACTTCAGAATATCAAATTTTTCACCAGGCCCGGTCGTCCTGCCAAATTTCATGAGTTTTCACCAGTGGGAAGTGGGCCATTTTCCAGTTCAAAGGGGCAGAAAAATAATAAGAAAAAGAAGAAGAAGAAGACTAGGGCCCCGTTGGGGCACTGGCGGGCCCGAGCTGTGTCGCGCTGCCCCCCCCAACGCGCTGCCTCCCCGTCCCATTCGCGTCCTCTGGCCATCGCCCTCTCTGGTAACGCCCATCACTGCAAAGACCCTTTCCTTCATCGGCGTTTGCTGTTCTTCCTGCCAGTGCGTGTTGCTTTCACTTACACTTGCCACAGCCAGCCTCGTGAGTGCCTAGCCTATTGGATATCACTGTCATCTACACAGGACAGTCATAACCTTTCTATTAATACTTGTTTTTTAATTTCACATTAATTTCCATATTGTATAAATGACTGAAAAAAACTTGAGCCCCTGCCCCTGTATAATCATGTGCACGTCCCTGTTCTAGCTCCAAGGTGAATCTTCACTGCTCATGTTCTCCTCAGAAGTAGTCACCTCACTTTCCTCAGGTGACTGTACACATGCACCAACTGCCTGCTTCAGGTTTGGATGGAGCTTCATGGTTGTCTTTTAGAGAAATGAGCAGTCAAGTTGTGTTTGAAATTTGATTTTTTTCAGGGGCAAAAAGGGGCCTCTGCATTCTAGTCAAATATGTAAATAGCATGTTTTTGCAGGTGCTAAAAAAAAGACTCTGAGTGTGTGTGTCTGTATATCCTGCAGTACTCTGAGAAGAATAATAAGCATATTTCTGAGGTGAATTTTGAAGATTCATCTGAGAGTTAGGAGGGCTGATCATTCCCTTACCCTTTAGATGTCTGTCTATGTCTGTTTTTGTGTGATAATGAAAGAATCCCAACTCAAAAAGGCTCTGTTGATGTTTTTTTTTTGTTGTTGTTCATTCATATTCAAACCACTATTTTATATCACTGCTAATACGCCAAGACCATTTTATGGAATTTAGCTTTATTATTTCTATACATTTTGCAAGGAAAGAAACCAAGGCCTTCACTAAAATTTCCATAAACTTTAGGAAAGGACCTCTGGTTGTTTAACGGGGTCATTACTGCAAAAACATATTCTTCCTAAATTTTGAAGGTCAAACCTTAGATCCATTAGGTTTAAATAGAAAAAGCATTAAAATATGTTAGGATTATAGCATATGACAAATATGTGCCTTTCAGTGGCCACAACTACTTTGTCTGCTGGCTCTGCAGTCGATTGACGCTCCCCAGCGTTCAAGTCACATTACATATTTAACCAGATGTAGCAGCAAGACGGAGCCTCGTTGACTCTCCGTTTCAACTTATCTCAAAAGTGAGGACCTCAAACTATACACCAGTTTTC